AATTACGCGTGTCGATAATTATAATTACAATTAGTTAGGTAAAAATAGTAACAAAAATGATTGATTTTTTAAATTTTTTAAATTTTTCAAATATAATTCTTGTTGTTAACAATTTATTCTTTTCAACATATTTATACAAAATGAAATACTTACATACTACATAGACATCATTATATCATGACGTTTAAAGAATAGTAGATCCATATACATACCATAGTTACAKGGTGTTTATCTATCGATAATATTCAAATAAATCGGTAATATAAATGACTTGGRAACATATTAAATTTATTTTAATTTTAAAATAGTTAAGTTTGTTTGGATAAGTTGACATCTAAAGAAAAATATTATTCGCGATGAGAAATATTTTCGAATCATACAAATCAATCTCAACATGAGTAGTTACTAGTTATAAAACGAAATCCTATAATGCAGCTCTTTGTCCAAGAAATCTCTTATATATGAAAAAAAGTTAATTATACTAAATCTACCAAGAAAATATATATAATGATAAAAATATGAAAAWCTCCATCATGGTTTCCGCTCTAGAAAATATATGCACGTGTGCATTAATAAAACGTTAATACTCAGTGGTTATACAAAATAATAAAATTATTGAACATAGTAATATATTGACATTACAAATTACARTAACTATTTAAACATTTTATAAAATGTATAAAAGGCTTTCGTTTGAGCAACATTATATTTCGTCTCAACCACCAAGAGGTGTTTGTTTAAAGCAATGTATATAAACATACTTTATTAATACAATACCACCCGTTTAAATACGAATTTTTCTTTGTATTTTTTGAAAGCGAAATTTTTTATATTTATGTTAATACTTTGAACAAATATTGGTAAATCATTAAATTTAGAGTCCCTCRCTAATACTACTGTAGCTCCGGAACACCTGGTACATAATATTTATTTTTATTTATTTATTTTTTTCGTCAATATGGCCAGGTCAACGGAGTCAAATGGTACAGGCTTTAAGTACATAATATTATTTACCTATATATCCTAGTTGGTCAAGTTCGGACGTTCCATACTGRTAAATTGATGGTAAAAGTGTAATCCATCCGTAGCCGATCGGATATAGCGGCATACTCACCAGTGTGCTCGTCTGTTATAAATTAAAATTAATAGTGAAATAAAAACATACATCATACATTTTAAAAATATACGAGAGGATAAAATATTAAATATTATCCAGAAAAAACTATTGACAGTGTAATTAGATTGCCTACCCAAGACGCCGTCTATCAAAACTGTATTATTGCATCAAAGAAAACGCTACGATGATAGCCGTAAAAAAAAAAGCTGTTAAACGAAAAAACCAAAAATATGCCAAGGTMACGTGATTATATTATGCGCTTTTATGTTGATTGAGGAACGTTTCATGTTACTTGTAAATTTCTTTTGGACTGACGTTTTAATCGAAATATAATCGTTTGACGGTTGACTCCTTCAGAGTTCGTGTTTAGGTACTGTGTTGTCTCCAAATAGCTCGAACCGATATATCGTGTAGTCGAAAAGGTTCAAAAAAAAATAAAAGAATAATTATAGAAAAATAACTACGTAAATACCTACGTGTAAGTAGCATTTTTCAATGCAAGCTTCGTGAAATGTTTTTATCTAACTTCTCCCAGAGTGGCGATTCGTATAATACCGTCGTTGGCCATTAATCAGAACCGTTAGGAATATATTTGTTCAGACCCGACAGAGGCCAACTCGATTAACATCCATGACTAATTTCGAGGTACGGTAAAAAAAAAAAACTTTGGAAAAATGTTTAAAACACAACAGGACGTGTTTTTGATAAATTCGTCGACACGTTTATTAGTAATTAGTAGTTACTAATTAGTTATTTACAAGATGTTTTGAATGTCACAAAAATAATCCTAAAGAAAAATTTCCCAAGCTACTATCCA